TCATAATAATTACCGAGGAGACATGGGTTTACGAGTTAGRCATGCAACTAAGTCAACAATAAACAGAAGGGAGGGCAAAGTATGAGCTGAAACCAAAAACCCATGCCAAGCCACTYAGAAATCGAGGTGACGCTCATTGTTCTTTTCGATAATTGGGAYTTGGTGCATCATGAATTCATTCCATAATATACGGTCAACAAGGAGTTCTATTTGGCCGTTATGTGGCGTTTGTGTGAGAACATCCGTCGAAAACGGTCGGAATTGTGAATTTTCCACGACGAAAAATGCACCACTGCATCGAACCACGATTATGACCGAATTTAAAGCCAAACGCATTGAATACCATCATCGATCAACCAACATATTCACCATTTTTCCATCCATGTGATTTTTTCTTGTTCCCCAAACTGAAATTGCGGCTCCGTGTAAGGCGTTTGCAGTCGATAKTAGAGATGAAACAAAATTCGCTGAAGGAGCAGAAGGCCATCACAGAAAGTGCTTATGAAAAGTGTTTCGAGGTGTGGAAAAAATCATTGGCATAAGTGTAGATATTGATGAAAAACTAAACATTATGTTTGTTATTTGCGATTTTCAGTTAATTTTTTTTTTTGCAAAGTACCGTCTTTTTTATAAAGAAACACTTGCGTGCAATGTTTCAGATCAATTACTCAAAAACTGTATATGGCTTAGTATAGTCGATGACGTTTCTGATAATCATTGAGTTTGACACATTGAACAAAGGACATAATATTTGTAACTTTTAACCAACACCGCTACCTGAAAGATAGGCGTGTTTGACACCTATTTCGGTTTTGACTGTTTGTACGGAATTATTTCTGCATTATTTTCTACTGTAATTATTAAAGAGCTTTTAAAAGCATGCGCTCTGAAAGCAAAATATATCATTAAATACGCATAAAGTTATRTTTAAATATTGCCGCCACTTAATTTCCACGAATATTTTGTATTGTAATTGGTTAGAGTTTACTGTCACGTCACTTTATGGCCWTAAATAGCGCGCTGACAAGTAAACATTTTCACGCTGTCACTACTGTTTGTAACGGAAGACTGATTGATGAATGCGAAAAAAATGAAGGGGAGAAGGTAGACAACAYTGCCGATGTGTATTTAGCGTTTTTAATTACCTGCGATGAAAGTTGGTTTTGACTGATGAGGATTTGATAGTGAGGATTACTTGCTTGAATTTATTAATGTCAAATTTGTCATAATAATTTAAACATTTAACTAAATTTTAACTTAAATTAATCTTGATCGACTTTGGTCTGTAATGTTGTACAAAATTTTCTTATTACGATTTATATGTGCAACTGCTCGTTTAACGTAATACAAGTATTGTTAGGTATCATGGTTAAATGTACCAACAAGTATTTATGAGAAATGTTTTAAAGTTTGGAAATAGCGTCGCACCCTGATCAAATTTCACCCGAACTGACAACATAATATTGTTTTGTATCATGGTTAAATGTACCAACAAGTATTTATCAGAAATTTTTTTGTTGTTTGGAAATAGCGTTGAGGCATTATACCACCTGATCAAATTTGACCCGAAAAAAAAACTACAATTTTCACATTTTTACCACTCCTGGGTGGTAACCAAATTAAATCATATATTATTTTTATTTACCAGCTGTGGAGTATATGCTCATTGGGCTGAGCGTTGGACATTCCCATATATAATGTTTCAACGTCTCGCAACTGCTCTACATTCCACCAATTCCACTTTTACTGTTTTCTGGAGGTGGGACACTGGTCTCTCAACTACCTTGAGCTATCATTGCGGCCTTTGCTTCAAGTAACTCTTAAAGTAGTTGGATGATCTGCAATAGCATAGGGGGTTTATGTTCCCAACTTGGCTGTTCACTAAAAGGTTTAGCGACTTGCTGGTTAAAACAGAAGTCCACTTGGCCCCTTCCGTTATTATCACTAACTAGTAATTTAGTTTTAAGCTACCTTAAGTTTATGGATGATTATAAAACAAATCCGTTTCTGTTCCTGTTTCAACCTTTGATGCGTTGGTGAATACATATATTGATTTCGGCGTTGGAACTGTCGATCACCGAAGCGAGCTTTACTCGTTGTTTTTGCGAAACATTCGGGTCTTTTAGTGCGAGTCTGGCATTGACGCCTTTCATAGCTAAAACATTAAGTAGAATGTGTTCGTATATTCAAGCACTGTTATTTTAACTATTTCACTATTATTGTCTCTAACAGAGGTGGCTATATGACTCGCATGTTTTCAGTTGATTTCACGATCTTCACTGAATGTTTGTGTCACTCAAGTAAGTAGTCGAAAAAGCCTTTTCGTATTTATCATCAAACTTTAAATTATTATAATTTTTTTTTTTTTGTAACAGCTATAACTTTTTTTCAACTTTGCCGAATYTAATTTGGTTAAATGAAGCTTAAAGTCTCACCTTTCCAACACTATATGGCATCACACAATGTGATTGGTAGCACTGCAGATATACGACTCGATCTATTGACAAAATACAAAAAGACTTTTTCGACTATCCAATATGGAAACACACGACAAACTTGTTGCCGAATAATTCTCCCATGATAAAAATCGCCAGTCAATCTGTTGGTCAACAAACAGCTATCAAACACACACTAACTTACATATGGAGACTTACTTGACTTTACAGGAACATGAAAGAAAATTGTATAACCTTTCTAGGAATGAAATTTCATCGATCGCAGTTTACTTGGATTAGTCCGGGTTATATTTGATCACGTGATATCGTAAGTGAGAGCGTCTACTTTTAACTCAATATGCGACGAAAATTGTGAGCCATGCTACTMATTCAACACACCTCCTCTACACATATGTGCACTTCATGATGAAGTGTATATATTTTAGAATTAACTGTGCTTCTCTTGAAAGCATTAATATCAATTTATTCGTAATACCCTGTGGGTTTTTAAGAACATGCTATTTAAAGCATAATAACGTTTAGACAACTTTATAACACCCTTTATGCTTATGTTCTMCTGTGTATAGTAGAATAGCTCATTAGCTGTCAAGTGGTGAATGATGTTGTGTAGGCATCTGGGGTTCATACCAATATTCGTATGGGCACCTTAGCGGAAGTACACAGTACATAGAGCAAAACGCAAGAAGATGTTGAAAATAAAAAGAAATTGAGTGGCGGCAAATATATTGTGTTTGATGGTAATATCGAACATAAATTTGAAAGACTGCCTTTCCTTTCATTAAGCTATTTTTTAGGTAATAAATTTGTGCAAGTCACGGAGAAAAAGTACCAGCTGATKGTTTTTAATGGAATATTTTCTTCAGCGACATAAGATCCGTTATTGACTCTCCCACGCTTGTGAAATATAAATTATCGTTCGGTGCAGTGGTTGTGGTCGATTTGTGGGCATGCGTTTTTACATACATATATGTCTAATTGACGCTGCTGTGCAAAATAGCGAAATACAAGCAGAAAAAAATAAATTAGATTTTCATTCCATCAAAATTAGCTTTCAAACACATGTGCTCAAACATAGCATGTTTATGTTGTTGTTTGCATAAAGCACATTGGTTCAAGGTAGCCATGAAAGACAAACACATTAATAAGTGTGTGTATGCAGTCTTCAGAGAACGTCAGTAATGTGAGAACAGACTGAAAAGTTTGTGAAATTACGAGTTCTCATATTGAGAATTATTTTCAAATTTATGTGGTTACCGTTATGGCGTTATGGAGAGAAAGAGCCTTTAAAAAGCCACAACAGGCGAACAGAAGTGAGGTACTTCAAAGATGCACAC